GTAAGCGAATTAATAAATAAATTGAAAAAAAAAAAAAAAAAAAGGAAAAAGATAAATAAGCCCATTTTTAAAAAAAATTTAAAAAAAAAAAAACTACCTGGGCACAAAATCTGCACCCACCACCATTACATAAATGTTGGTTTCTTTTTTTTTTTCTTTTTTTAAAAAAAAAAAAAAAAAAAGTTTTATTTTATTTCATTTTTTTTTTTTTCCTTCGTTGGCGCCGTGTTTTCAATGTTATCAGCGATATTTGCCCTGAGGGGAGAAACAAAAATGAAAATGACAGATTAGAATATATGATATCAAGAATGTTTCCCCAAAAATGTGGTGGGGGGGTGCTCTAAGGGGGGTGATTTTTTTTCTCTCTTTTTAAACTAAATAAAATGCTAGTCTCCAATCAAACCTCATCCACACCTGTATTCATTTTTTGAAAACTCGGAGAGAGAGAGAGAGAAAAAAAAACCCGATCAGGGGAAGTGTTTTATTTTTTTAATTTTTATTTTTTATTTATTTATAAAAAAATAACAAAACAAAAAAAAAACACGGGTACCGTATATATGATCAACGCTAATCTATTATAACAACTCACCCGTTCTTTTCTCTACCCGCACCTCCTGATAAATAAAATGCCATTATAAAATCCACCCTTCTTTTCACTCCACCTAATAAATAACATTCTAGTATAAAATCTACCCGTCATTTTTTTCTGTCCCCACCCCGATAAATAAAATGCTCGTATAAAAAATTAGCCCTCTTTCAACCCCTACTATTTGTAATGAAAACTTCTTTTTTTTAATGGTACATTAAAAAAAAAATACCAGTACATGTTAAATTCACTGGAAGACTTCAAGCTCCAGAATGCTGCTACACAATACAGTCGATGCTCATTCCCCCACCCACCCAACTGTATTCATTTTTATAAAAAAAAAAAAAAACAGTCGTTTTTGAATATATATATATATATATATATATATATATATATATATATATATATATTTTTGGTTTAAAAAATAAAATCTGCTCTATTTTAACAACCACCTCACGTTTGTTATTTTGTAAAACTTTTTTTTCCTTTTTTAATCGCTTTATATATATATATATATATATATATATATATAAGCAAATATATGGATATAAATCCGACAGTATGAAGAAAAATATATACGGAAAAAAACAAACAAAAATCTTTATATACAATTATGCTGTTTTAATGTTAATATGTATGAATATGTCCTGAAGATGGTTTATTAGACCGAAACGTCCGACGTTGACATATTAATATTAAAACAGCATAATTGTATATAAGGATTTTTGTTTGTTTTTTCCGTATATATTTTTCTTTATATAGCACTTTATAAAGAATTAATGAATGGATTTAATTTTTTAATCCGAAATTCTTCTTCATCAAACGTTATTTTTAGTGGTTACCTGTATTTAAATAGACGCCGCGTTTTACGCCAGTAGACTTAATAATAAACACTTTAAAAAAACGCGGCATCTAGTCAAATGCGGTATATCTAAAAATAACGTTTGAAATAATAATTATATGTATGTATATATATGGGTGGGTCTTGTATCCTTAAGAAAGTTACAGACAAAGGTGGTACTCGAGCGAAAGGAACAGCAACACGGAAGTAGATGAAAGAAAGAAAGGTTTATTGTAAAAGAGAATACTCTACTGAAAGACAGGGAATCGGCTCGCAAGCTCGTAATTCTGGAAGTAAGTCCGCCTATCTATATCTTCTGCTCACACACACACACACATATACATATATATATATATATATATATATATATATATATATATATATATATATATATATATAAAAAAATGTATTATAAGAAAAAAAAAGAAACGTTTATAGATATTGAATGTTTTTTTTTAAACTTCATCAGAGATTAGATATGAATGTGAAAAACTTTTGTTATATTTTATTAAGAGATCAATTTTCTTTTCTATATTTTATTTCTGAAGAATCTTAAATAAAAGCATGACATGTCAACTTTTATAAACGTTTCCTTTTTGTAATTGTAATGTCCTATCATTCTGTCGGGTTCTAATCCATATTTGATCTCAATTCGTATGTATGTATGTATGTATGTGTGTGTGTACACACATATAATGTGTGTGTGTCTCTCCTCCAAAAGTTTGTTAGAAAACGCTCATATGTAAAAAAAAATTAGGATTTCCATCTCTTACACTTGTATTTTTTTCTTTTTTTTTTAACTTGAAAAAAATGGTTTTGTAGTGTTTTTTTTTTTTTTTTTTTTTTTTTTTGTTTTTTTAAAGTGGGGCTGATATACAATCAACCCTTTTTCAACACCTTTTCACCTTGTGTTTGAGTTTGTAAAACTATAAAAGTTCGAGGTAGGGTCAGTGAACAAAACAAAAATCATAAATACTTATATTTATGTAGTCTGCCTTTGTTCCCATCTTTATTCATTTTTCCAAGACTTGTCAAAGATCGCAGTGGCGATGGGGGCGACAGGGTTATAGTAATAATTGTTTTCTTTTTTGTTTTTTAAAATAACCGTAGTATAAGGAATGGCCTGTTTGTTTCTTTGTTTTTTGTTTTTTTTTGTTTTGTTTTTTTTAAGAAAAACGTGCTACAATAATTAAAAAAAAAAAAATCCACGCGCTTTTTACCCTTTTCTCAGCTTCAATCTTCTAAAATTAAAAGTTTTCAAAAATAAAAAAAGAAAACACATACATACATATACATATATATATATATATATATATATATATATATATATATAAGACCACTTTAAGGTTCCATTTATTTCACCACAGCCCTTAAAGTGGTCTGTTTTTATTTAAATTATTTGCTCTGAATTTACATTGAGCTCTCTGGATTTTATCCTCCTTAGGTTTACCCATGCGGATTACCTAGTTTTTCATAAACTATATATATATATATATATATATATATATATATATAATTGGGAAAATTCTTCAATTCAGCTATGAGTAAATCAGTCAGTAAATCAGTGCCATGCGTTATACACGCTTAGGCGATCATCAATCTTTCGATACATAATTGACGAGACAGATTCTTTTTTTTCCCCGCAGTAGGTTGCCATTTCTTTTTGTGGTAGAACCCAGTCTGTCCTGCTATTTGCCCATAGCTGGGGAGGGTGAGAATAAGAGGATTCATACCTTTCCCAAGAGTATTAACGCTTAACTGAACAGACTGGGTTCTATAGCCTTGGATGGCAACTGGTCTATGAGAAGGACAACTCTGAATTCAAAACCTGACGGAGTGTCGTTTTATGGGACCTTAATAAAACGTAGTGCACTATTTCTCTGTATTTATTATTTAAAAAGTGTAGATGGTGCGCACAAAACCATTACCTCTGTAATCAAATCATATGTGTAGCTGGTCTGTCTGTCGTTTCCTAGGAACTGAGGTGCCTGATCCTCATACGTCGTAAAAGGGTCCCTGGTAGGCGTGGGTCAGTTGCCCGCGTCTATCAATGACGGGAGAGTCCAGGACACAAGATATAAAGAAAGTTCCCATGATTTCGCAGACGCTCCCTCTGTAGCTAAATGGTATATCACGTTAAGAGATTAAACAGCTCTGCAAGTCTGATATTGAGCATTTTTAATGCGTACGATCTTAAATATTCTACTGTTTGTTTACTCTGGCGCGCGCGCGCGTGTGTGTGTGTGTATATATATATATATATATATATATATATTATTAATTAATTGATTTAAAATGTTTTTCCCGCTACACATTTCTAACCATGTTTCAAAAATATAAAAAACCATATTTTAAATCAATTACTTTGTAATATTAATGCTCTGTAAGAAAACATATTTTAAATCAATTAATTTATAATATTAATGCTCTGTAAATTTACATTGAGCACTATTTTGTAAAAATAAAAATCTCTATAAGAACACCGGATTTTATCTTACTGTTCTTTCTTTATATATATATATATATATATATATATATACCCTCTTTCATTACCCACACTATCTATTTTTTTGCTTTTGGTTTGTTTAATAGTTTAAAATTAAAAATATGAGCGTGTCTGTGGAAATGATTTTAAAAAAGACCAAAAAAAAAAAAGCACACACATACACTCAAACAACTATTTTTTTTTTTTTTTCAAATTTATTTTTTCTAAATTAAAAGAAAAAAAGAAATGTTAGTCAACATCTTTTTTTTATCTGTATTCATATTTCGAAATCTTAAAGTGTTCCTCTTGAAACTTTCCTTTCTTTCAGTTCTGTCCTGTGTGTGTAATGTCCTTAAAAAATTGGCGGGAAATAATTTAAAATTATCTTGAATCAATATTTGCTAATAATAACGTTCATATTTACCTCATATTCCTCCCGGCGGTAATTATGAAATTGATTTTATTATTATTATTTATTTATTTATTTATTATTTATTTATTTATTTTTTTATCTTTTAATAAAGCTGATAGATTTCGAAATAGATTTCGAGCTATGAAATGCAATGTGTATTTTATAGCCATCTTTTGATACATTTCTGCTGGCTGGTTGGCGAAAATGCACATACATACATCCATACATACATTGACATACATACATACAATTGATATGTTGTTAGATTAAATTGATATAAAATAAAGTCTATTAAAAACATTAATATGCCATTTCAAGATTTATCAGTTTTCTGAATAGAATTTCTTTTTACCAAACGTACTTTTAAGCCTAAGGTAATCAAAACAACTTCAACTCCAAATACATATTGTAAATCTCATGTGATGAGTGTTTTTCCCTCAATTCTTGCTTGCCTCACTGACTTAAGTGATGGTAATTTTTTAAGAAGTCATTTCTACATTGTAATTGTATTATTTTTAAATTGGTACCTCGGCTAATTCGCTGAAAAAAGAGCATACCATGATAAAAAAAAAATGCGCCAAACTTGAAAAACAAAGTTTTATTGTCAAAATATTTGTTATTAATTTAAGAGGAAAGACCAAAAAAGTATTTTTATTCTTTCTATCACGTTCAAAAT